ATCAAAATATTGTCCATCGTTAGCGATGACTTTGTCCCATCTTTCGGGCAGTAAGCGAATTCCGCGGCGAAAGAATGACTCATCTTTGGAGGCTATCCACTCAGAGACCCATTTTTGACATCTTCATAAGAATTGAAGTGTTTCTCTGCAAATGTGTGTCATCGATCGTCCTCAAAACAAGTGATAGTCGGAAAGGGCACAGTCTGGTGAATAAGCCGTATGGGGTAGCACTTCCCAGCGAAGTGCTCCTAACGTTTCCTTAACGAGTTTTGTGACGTGAGGTCGAGCGTTATCGAGAAGCAAGATCACTTTATGCTGTCTCGTTTCATATTCTGGTCGTTTTTCTTGCAATGCTCGGCTCAAACGGATAATTTATTTTCGGCAGAGATCCCTTGTAACTGTTTGACCAGATTTCATGGTACACTACACCCTGTTGATCCCACCAAATACAGCATTGCCTTCTTTCCGTGGATATTCCGCTTTGGCGTCGATGTTGATGGTTGGCCTGGATCGCAAATGGTTTTTCGGCGTTTCGAAGTAGATTCACTTTTCATCACCAGTCACAATTCGGTGCAAAAATCCCTTTCTTTGTTGCCTAGCAAGCAGAATTTCGCAGGTGGTTTTTCGTCTTTCAATATCTCTTGGCTTCAGTTCATATGGGACCCATTTTCCTTCCTTGTAGAACTTTCCTAAGGCTTTCAAACGATTGGAAATAACAGATTGAGTACAATTTAATATTTCTGCAAGTTGTTTTTGCATTTGACATGGGTTTTCATCCAATAATGCCTGCAATTCTTCGTCTTCAAATGCTTTTGGTCTAGAACGCTCTTTGTCCTCCACATCAAAATCACCACTTTTAAAGCGTCGAAACCATTCTCTGCATGTTTTATCGGAAGGAGCACTATCACCATAAACTTCTACAAGCATTCGATGAGCTTCAGCTGCAGTTTCTTCCATTTGAAGCAAAAAATTAACACTTCGCGCAAATGACGCTTATTTGACTCAAATGTCGACATTTTCGATGCGGTAAAAAACAATGTTATTGTTGCAAACGTATACTTTTATATACTGAATTTTATTGACAGATAGTAAAACTAAAAAATTAAGCTTGGTTTAGACATTAGAGTTATGGACTATTCTAGCTATAGTTACTCGTCGCTAGATCGCCGGAACTTTCTAATACACCTAATATAATTAATAGATGCAGATATTAAACGTCCGCGTCGATTAATATTGTGGGATCAGTACCGTATATAGAATATAGGAAGATTAATATTTAATGCTGAAAATTTCCACGCGAAATAACGCGGATTTTGCATTCTTAAAGTAATATCCAAGTCATCTTTTATGATTAAAATGAGCTTTACGCAGTGAATAAATGTTCAGCTGTCGCTAAAAAACGTTTCTTAAATATCACAGTTCTCAAGTCTGAAGTTAATGTGAATATATTTTCTGCGGTTAAAATTTACAGATATTTATCGATATTTAATTTTTTAACAACGTTAAAAAATGTATGGCTCGTGTTACATGATATGTTATACAAAGTGCTGGAATTCATAAAATATTAATCAAGTTTCTGGAAACTGCATTAAATTTTATGAATTGTTAAATTAAAAAAGAATATTAAAACAAGAAAATATTCTCATATAAAAAAAATTGTGATAAAATGAGGCAAAAGTATTATTACACGTCATGAATGAAAAATGCATGCTGGAGAATCAGTCCTCAACGTGAAAAATATTTTCCAATATTAAACATAATTCGTTTTTAAGATTTTAAAAAATATTTTAACTTTTTTGTAATTAAAAGATGCGTGTTTTTTCTCTGATGCGTTTTCTCCTTTTGAGGCGCTTCGATTAATTTTTTCTCACATAAGATAGTAAAGTGTTATCTCAATTCGTTTTTTAACGTGGAATAGTACTATGACGAATCATTCTTCGATTGTTATTTATCGTTTATAGAATGGTATGTCTCAATAACGCACATATGCACTTGCAAAATACTGTAAGTGATAAACATAAGTGCATTCCGACATGAACGCTCTTTATCACGTCTTGCAGTGACGCTTTTCTCGTATCCTCCCATTTTGCGTTTTTTATTAATCCTCTTACTTGTAGTTGTTTTTATTAATCCTCTTACTAGTTTAATGCTTTTTTTTTATATGCAATGCATTTTTTCAATTAGATTATGCAACGTAATTTCGCGAAAATTGAGTGTCAATGATTACATTCCGAGTTCTCGTTATCATCGCACTTGGGAGTGATACGTGAACGATATTGATGATCGATTTCGTTGTTGATCAAGTTGAAGCACCATTTCAAATTTAGCATTGTGATAATAAGATTTTCCTACTGATTTCTTCATAATGGCATTTGATTATTCGCACTACATGATATATAATAAAATCAATATAAAATAATGATCTTTTACCTCTGCGAATAAAATCTGAGTTTCCTTCCTAGAAATATTCACCGAAACTAAATTAATAATAAAAAATAATAGATTCTTATTTCATATTTATATTTTTTCTATTATTAAAATTTTATAAATAGAAATATTTTAACATCCTTTAAAGAAATATTGACTTCTATTTTATAAATTGTATTGGATATTTTTCCGCACAAGCACATTCTTCTCCTATTCTTCAATTAATTTACAATTAGATTCAATCTCCAAATCTGTTTTAATAAAAAATTGCAGGCACATTAATTTTATTTTTCTAAATCACCCAGATTCTAGTATTTATAATTAAAATAATTATATAATATTTCACAGAGAGAGAATTAATATATTATTTTTAGAACAAAATTTAAATTAAAAATTCAATTTTTATGTTAATTCAAAGAAAAGATGTCGTTTTCGTTAAATGCCGCATCTTAAGTACAAAACAAATTTTCTTAATCTTTCCGACATTCTACTTGTTAGAAAAGAAAAAATATAACTGATTTCTCGAAACAGTCGCAAACTGACAATACAATGAATACACAGCTATGACGTAGCTACCGCAATATGTGTCTTTAGCATTGGAGACGTACGCCAGAAATCCCATTGGCGAGGACTTCTTGTTCATACAGAGAAAAACTGAGGTCAGGCAAAGATAATATCTTCTTCATATCTCAAGGAAAGATAATATCTCTTACCGAAACTAAATTGTAGCTTCTTCGTTAACATCTGGACCAACTAGTTACGCGCATTGCAGCAACTATACTATATAAAACCAGGAAATCGTAAGAACTTTAATTGTCAGTTTGCATCATGTCATTTTATTCAATAAATTAAAGTAAATCTTTTTTTTTTTCGACGAGTCTCTAAAGTTTCCAGATACTACCCGGTTAATTAAGCGAGTACTTTTGAAATATATGAGCTGTAATTTGATATTTTTCAATGAATATGTTAAAAACTTTAGATAGTATATTACGCCATTTCAAATAAATATTCTGTAACATTGAAATAATGACACAGATTTTCTATAAATTTTTTTTTAACTTTTCTATCTGGTGCTGTTTTCTTTTGTGGAACAATGCAAATAATGTAAAACAAAGAGAGAAGAATTTTTATATTTTGAATTAATCCATCATTAATTAATTTTCACAACTTTTTTAAAAATAAAGCAAAGTTTTTGTATTTTTAGTCTTTAAATAGTATAACACAGACTGTGATTAATAAAAGTAAACTGTTGCGTCGTAAATTAAAGAGAATTGTGAAGATAAGTTTGATAACGATAAGTTATATGATTTACAAATACAAAACGAATTAAGACTATATCCAAACGATTCGCCGTTCTATAATGAACTTCAAGCTTCTGTCGACACTGTTGACGTATATACAAACATAGTCACATAAAAATAACTGACGTAGAGGACTATTTTCATAATCTCCCTCATTATGATGGCTTCTCTATAATGTCACTTTATACGTCAGTAATATCTTGTGATTATATTTGCTTAGTTGCTAGTTGTGTCAATAGAAACTCGGCGTTTCCAATCGCACTTAATCCAATTTGTTTGCTAATCATCACGAGTTGTGTCTCTGGTGATTATTTTTAATTCGCGTACACTCTAATTTATAGACTTATAACAACCACTGGACATATTAAGCAAACGTAATCATATTAAAACAATAAATCACTTCGTTCACTATACATTGTCTCGTTGTTTCATCAGAGACAGTTTCAGCTGTAGCTTCAAATCATCAACGTTAACGATTACGATTTCATTTAAATTATAGCTCGTGGCATATGGATAGAGTTAGAAAATTAAATTTATCAGAATTAATGTTACTCGATATTATATTGGTGCAATACATCTCTGAAATCATTAGTGTTGTATATGACAATTCTAATGACTGATTTCACTCGGCGAGCTGTCTGTTTCCAGATCATATAGCAATATAAATAAGTAAGAATTTTATTAATCATCGTTAATTCTAATCGGTATTTGTACAAGCTCGTAATTCTTCTTAGAAATGTGTGCAATCGATACCAATCGATTTATTTATTCCGATTAGTTCAGCTCTTTTTTCTCACACAGAAAGATTAAAAAAATAGATTGTATATATATATATATATATATATATATATATATATATATATATATATATATATATATATATATATATATATATATATATATATGCAAAAACGTAAATTTCATAAAATCGAAGGAAAATGAAGGAAATCTTTGGTAAATGCAACAGAATTTTATCATGTCAATTAAAAATTTAATTAACACGAACATAGTAAATAGTAAATCGCGTATTTGCGATTTGTAATACTATTCCGTAAAATTTGTAATACTATTCCGTATATATAAATATATATATATATATATTTTATGACTAATTTACGTGTAATTGTGAGGCGCCGCTATATAGTTTAGCTTGTTTATCGTTATCAAGGACTACCGGTAAGGTAACAAAGATATCAAACAATCAACACGACATCGACAAGGGGCACGATTCATCGTCAGTGATATGGATTCCCGATAATTTATCGTCGTTATATAAGAAAATAATCAGAGATTTATAACACGGCTCTCACTTAACGAAAAGATCATTTTAAGACAGTGATTGTGCGACATCGGTAAGTCCGTTCTTTTAGCTGTAGCGTTCTAATTTACTTTTAACTGCTATCAATCGAAAGTTAATACAGTTTTCCCTTTGATACATACTCATCCGGTCGCTGTGAGATTAATCGCAGCTCATTGTTTCAAATCACCCGCGAAGCTGTTGCGACTATCATTGATAAACAATAAATCGTAATTTGATCTCATCGATACGTAACTTGTTTTTCGCCGCGCGTGAAAAACTGTAGCGGGGGGGGGGGGGGAAACAATTATCGATCCTCGTAATGAAAACAATCAAACAAGTGTGAAGAACGGAATTTTTCGTTGAGTAATAATATTTATTTCACTCGCATTAAATTGTTTTGCGGACATTCTAATCCACCATTGTTCGCGAAAGAGGTAACGGACACTAAAGTGCACCGAGTTCATCAAATTTGTAAGGATCTTTTATTAAAACAAGTGTACGAACATTTATTATATTTTTATATACAAAAATCTAATATTGGTCAATTTGATGGTAAGTAATTACTGTCAAAAGACAGTAATTACTTATTTTAAATATAATTAAAAGGATTGTTGTTTAGTGCTTTTAGCGTTAAATAAGTAATCGATTATTATCTTTTATAATATAATAAAGAGTGCCTTAAGAATCGGTCAAAGTTGGAAGTTTCGAATAATATAATATTCTAAGTTCATGAATTTAATTAATCTCAAATGTGACTGTGCGACGAAACGTCTTTTAGCAATAAATTGGCCAGTATTAGCTAGATTTCTGTAAAGATATTGATCAATGTACCTATATATCTTCATTTGATTATAATCAGCTTCATAAATCAGATTGTGCTTTGTAAACCATTTATTTCATAAGTTATTTATCTTCGTTCGAAGTTTTAATCGAAACAGTGTTGTCCTTCCATTTCCTCGAAGTTTTACACCAATAAGCGCGTAACGTAATAGCATTTAAAACTAAAAGGACTCCTTCGCCAAGCGTGATTTACGGAGCGTATTCTATCGTGAAATTGAATTTTCGTTATATTATTTTCGTATTTTCTCGATTTTACAAGCAACGCAATCATTTGTATCCGCGCAAAGCTATCGTCGTCGATTCGCAATCGGGACGCAGCACGCATGTGCGTAACGTGATTATCGGTCACGGGTCGACGACGCAGGATGCGGAGTAAATCTCGTCCTGGATTTTATTGATTTTTCCATTGATACAAGCAAGCAGGCTGAGTTAGAAAAACTTCTTCGAATTACTTTATTCCGCATGATTTAATCAGTGGAAAGAAATATTATATACGACATTCTCTCGGCACGTTCTCGACAAATACCGGTCGATATACACTCATTACACTCATTACACAGGATGTTCACAGTATGAGACTGATGTCCGAAATACGGGTACATTAATTAGTAGAATGTCCAGCAGAATTCAGCAGAATGTTGCCAAATAAAAACGCGGGCAAATTGTTTCTTCATTGTCAGATAAATATCTTCATTTATTTGGATACTCACGCAAATTGAAAGATATAAGTGGGCGCATTTATCGTATAGTATTTCGCAGCTTTTTCCACAGAAAATTCTCTGAAACTGCATTCAAATTAGACTTAATAGATGAGTTTAATATCAGAATTTCGCATTCTCTTTCTTCTTCTACAAAACAAAAGTACAGATAACTTATAAATTTAATTTCACCGCTATTATATGTGCTATCATTTTCTTATTTATTATAAAGCTGAATTTCTTTTTTGATAAAAAGAAGATATCACAAATACATATGTGAATACATCGGAAAAGATACGTTATCTCATATATTATTTTGAAGTAAACATTCTTCTTCCATAAACATTTTATGAATCAAAATCATATGAATTGGATCTTGATGAGATTTCTCACAATTTCAAAATTCTCCTCTATCATCTCGTTCTCCTACTCGATGCTTTTCTCGACAAGGGTCCCTTTCGATGGAGCTAATTCTTATGGAGACCATTCTGTGTGCGGCGAGGCCGCGCAACCTTGACCAAGGCACCTCGTTTCAGGGTCTAGGTCTCGAGACGTATCGTCGCAACGACCGCGATCGACCCGCGATCGAGATCGCGCTTCGCGAGGAACAGCCAAAGAAAAGAGTGGGAGAGAGAGGTGGAGACCGATCAGAGGAAGCCGAGCGAGAAAGAGAGATCGAGAAAATGACCCCCACTCGCGGCAATGAGGAAATAGAGGGGCGCTCTTATAAAGACTATGCCTACAGCCCTGTATCAGTGAGTTCCCCTTCGACGGTGAATGATACACCCCCAGTTAGAGAATCAGTGGAATTGGACATACAGAGGACGTCATTACGCACCAACGATCGTAGTGGTCCCGAAGACATGACGGAGAAGGGTTCCAAACACATCCAGTTCCTGGCTGCTGCGACAGGTAAGTTCAAGTAAATAAAAGATTAAATGTCAAAGAGGGAGATAAATTAAATTAATTAAAAGATCAATTAATTATTAAAACATTGTTTTTTTTTTCATGGAAGTTTTGGGTTACTTGAAATTAATTTTTTCATACATTTCTTCAAAACAAATTAATTTTAAAAAATTTGATTGCAAAAATTAGAAAGACTTTCTAAATTATTTTTTGAAGGTGAGATCGATACTTCATGGATTAATTTTTTAAATCATGTATTTATTTAATTTATTTATTTAAAAACGTCATGTATTACTTCTACTTGTACTGAATAGACGAATTTATTGACTGTATTAAGATGAATAATCACGTGTTACAAATACAATTCGATTGATCGATTCGACGCTTGAGGAAGAATTTATTTCTCGCGTTGGCTTCATATTTCAGTATTTTCGAAACTCGAGAAAAATCAAAAGCCAAATTGAAATATATTGATACAATGTAACATAAGATTTGATTTCATTCTTTTTACGCGGTATTGTTTTTTAATCCTCCTTTAAAAGAAGAATAGAATTACATTATACATTCATCGACATAGTTCAGTTCAGAGGGTTTGAAACGAGCAGATTGGATAATTGACAATAAATCGTACTATTTGCTTTTTACTGGTGTAGTTACTCTTTTGATGCGTGTGACATTAATTGAAGAAAATGAAGAGGCACAATACACGGTTGCTCGCTCTCACGTGTAGAGCACAGTGCAGCTGCACTTTGCAGGTGCGTGACGCGACTGTTAGTGTCCGCGAGAATCGAAACTATTCTTATAAGTATATTTTTATAAAAATATGTATTTAATTAAACAATGAAGGTCCGAAATAATACTCGAGTTGACTATTAACAATTCGGTTGAAAATTTATTTGAGAGTTAATACTCAATTTGAATGTCATTCATTTTGAATTTTGGACCGTCAATGTCTAGTTTGATGTATTTTTTTATAAGGATATTTTCCGTCCTTGTTTTATTTTAGCTATAAATAATAAAATATTTCTATACTTGTAATCTTAAGGGAAATCAATAAACATACTAATAAATATTTTTAATTGTGTTCTCTTGATCGCGGCAAGTAATTTATTAAAACTAGTCAAAGACATAATGCAAGTACGTGAAGCAGAATTGTTCAATCCTAACTATATTGTTCAATCCTAACTATATTATGTTACACATAATTTTTGGGGGGCATCGCGAAGATATTATTAATAATGTTACTTTATCAAAATTTTATGAAAGTACATGCAATAATATGATAATATAATGATAATGGAAATATTATTTTAGATGACCGCAAAATATTGTGACCAAATATTATACAAATATTATCACAATATAATATGAGTATTTATTATATTTCCAATAATTCAATTTACATTTCTAAAGTTAATAATAAACACAACAGTCATAATCAATAATAAAAGACAATGACGTAAATCTTTATAGCTTAATAAAATAACAAATAGAAATAAATTTACTCAAGCAAATTTTTATTATTTAGTAACTATTTATTATAAACTTTATCCTGTCATTTTTCTTTTTAAAATCATTTTTAAAGAAATGAAATTAAGAGCTCATTACAAAGATAAAAAAATTCCATACGATGCTTTTAAAATGTTTTTTCCCTAATGTATATAAATGATGAGAATCGAAGACTCACAATTTAGCAGGAAAAAATGTATAAACGACGAGAAGCAAAGAATCGCGATTTAGCAAGAAAATAAGCGTGTATCTCATCTATTAAATTTACATGATACGATTTTAACGCGAAAGAAAGAAGAAATCAAGATAATTATTCGGCTGGATAATTTCGATTGACCGAATCAAGATTAGCTCAGCTTGAGATATTAGCATCGAAAACCCACTCAGAGAAAGAACGATGCCCCGCACTACGTGATTCATGTTCACCGGTGAGTCCTTCGTGTACTTGGATGACGGGAATATTAAACGATTCACATCCGGCGCTCGACCGAATTCAATCTTAACCGACAAAGATCGCAATCGGTTTAAACTACTTCCTCATTACCGGTGCAAGCGGTAGCCAGTCAAACGAGACCTCGAAGTGAGAATCCCGAGTTGAATGGAGAGGGTCTCTCTTACAATGCAAGTCAATCGAATTCGTAATGAGACTAGCGGCGAACCCGCAATTGTTCAGTAATGATCATCGGTTGGATTGAGAACAATCTGATTCTCGATGGAAATCAGCGTTCGATTCCCTAACAATGTGAGTTTCTTATCAAAACAGAAATAAAATGATTGAGTAATTTTTACCTTACAAGGAACATTAAAAATGTTCTGTTTATTTTTGCCGAATTTATGCTTTAAGCTTTACTTGTCTGAAAGTAAAAATATCGAAGATATAAAGTACAAGATACATTGTAATTATAGTAAATTCATTCAAATAATTATTATTTTATAATAAAATAAATCATACTCAAGGCTGTAAGCATGAACAATTCTCAGGACTTCATTACTGTGCAGTAAAGTTTTATCAGTGATAAGGCAAAAAATACTTATCGATAAAGTAAATTCTATTAAGATGATAATTTATACATTTATTTTATGAAATGTAAAAAGTATCTTACAGTATGGCTATGCTCGTTCATTTACCAGAAAATTAAAGTAAATTTTACACACGATCTGTCCCTATATGGATTTGCCAATTCCATAAAATTTACTAGATTTTATTGCATATTTACATTTTTCTCCGTGACGAGAGTAATAAAAAGGAATAAAATTAGATACTTCTTTATTGTATAATTAAATAAGAATAATCCACGTTTTTCCGTGATTAAATTGTGCGCTCGGAAAAAATCATGTAGAGCTGAATTATATTTAGGTAATATAATTTAGGTAATAATCTTTACGCGTATATTTAGCAGGTATATAAAAATTCAGATCAGCTTTGATTAGCTCAGCAATTTGCGCGAAATCAGAAATCACGAGAGCAGCGTGAGAATGAGAATCCTTGAATAGAGAAACGGTAATCCCCGCAACTTAACCACCAATTATTTATATATGCGGAAATCAACGGATTTGATTTTACTATTTTTGTTATAAACTAGCATGATAACTCGTATTTATAGTATCGATTTGTCCTCGTGATGTCAAAGTTTCCGTGACAAAAAGCCGAAGTACTTCATGGTCATGTGCACGTAATATTGTACTAAAATATGTATATTAGATATATTACAACTGCAACATATATTGTATTATCTATTCAACGAATGAGCATCTGAAGGCACTTATTAAGTTGCTTAACAAAAGTCAGTTTAATTCTCAGTCAGTTCGAATAAATTCGATTCTTGTGAAAGTAAAAGTCACTTGAATATTCATTGAAATTTCTGTATTGGCGATTTTGCACATAAAAATGCATTTGTCAGCTTTCTCTCTTGAAGATAAATTAATTTATTCCATCGTAAGTAAAAGTTTTAATGTAGAACTGTACATGAATAATGTAGGTTAATCTCGATGTAACAGTGTCATAAGAGATAATAACGCATCTTAATTTGTACCTGTCACTTTTAAAAATCTAATATATCAATCTTGTTTATCAAACTTCATACAATTTCTTGGATAAGATGCAATTTTAAGATTAACTGGAATTAATTTAAAATATAAAATTTTATTATCTCTTGATGGACGATAAACAAATTAAAACTACTTTTAATGTACGCTAAGTGTACGTTGAGCAGATTCTCGTTAAAATGTCGATTAAGATGAAATGAGTTTGATTCTTTTCATAAACAAAAAGAATTCCGTAAAAAAGAGAGTTTATATTTTTGGCAATGTTGTGTTCAAAATGATTGAGTGTTCGCATACTTTTTTACTGTATCCAGAATAAAATTCTGTGATTCATTCTGTGTCTTTTGTGGTGAGTTGTTTATCCAATTATTTATCTTTATCAATCTTTGATGACGAACTCTTGCGTATGTAAAAATGCAGCTTCACTATTTTATTCGGTATCGATAGTGATAGATATTTCATTGTCGTGATATTTTTATATTTCAATCGGAATTTTTCCGAATATTGTTATCCGTGGTAACGCCTCTTTCGCACTCTCGTCATTAACTATCGATTACGTTATCCTATCCTATCGTGGTTGCCTTCATTTTTTAATTCATTGTAATTTTATGTGTGTGTCCGATACAGTTCAATGTTTCATCGCGCGGACGTCAATGTTTGTTGATTGACAGTGGTGCAACGTCAACGATTTTGCAAGTATGATGGTGACAATATTTTAAAATCACGCATGGAAATATACGCGATGATGTCCAGACTTTTTTTATATCGAACTGTAAACATGCGCTAATCTTTTAAAATGTAATCGTATTTCGTCACATGTTCCATTATTTTGTAATTCATTAGGCAATTTATTGTTATGATATTGTTCGGCGATAGGAAGAAGCTTGCTTTTATTGTATAAAAATGTGATTATATTTTCTGTTAACTGTAATCTGCGTTAACGATAAAAGTGAATTTTATAATCGCGTTTCTCTCGGTATGATTTTTCAATATTATATGCTATCACGATTTTTTAGAACACAATATCTTATATACAATGTATACACATAAGATGATATTGTGGCCCTTGTATTGTATAATGATCTCTCTTAATATCTTTGATAGACAGTAAATTCTAATAATAATTTACGAAATCATGTATTCAGTAATCCATTATATGATGGCGCTAATATGTCATAAAATAGCCGATATTTATTATATAATACATTTTTTATTTTTACGTTCAAGCATTTTCAAGTTATAGAATTTAATTGTTATACATACTTATTTTTTGCGTACTATCGAACGTATGTACACTTAAGTGTGCTGTTCGTTATTTTACATTTTATTTAGCTGTATACATTTCGAGTTATATAAAGTTAAATAATAGCAGGGAAATTTTGTTAATGTAACCCCCCTAAATTGACTGATGACCTTTTTCGAATTTATCAATATAAATATAATCATTCGATAAG